CTCCATTAAACTAAAATTACCTATCTAGACATGGATTACGCCTGTTAATTTTCCTATCTCAGTGTTGGCTCCCGTTATCAGAACAGTTTTGCCGTCCAAGAGGGCTTTGCTGCTGCAGTCTCCCCCAGCCCGCCGTCTCCGCAGGGCAAAGAGCCCGACACCTACCGGTACAGGTGCGACATTAGTCCAGCATTATTACCTCACCTCTAATTCATCACATCACCACTACTCTCTTAACGTCGGAAATGTCATTTTCCACGCTTGTAATTTTCAGATTTAAGTGCCTCATATTTACATATTTCTTGTTGTCGTGGGAAGCCACAACCACTTTTAAATATACAACATAATGATTTTGTATAAAGTTTAGCCTACCCGTCACCAGGACAGCTGCGACAGCCTGTAGGATGTTCTTCCACAAACTCCTTCACTGCCTTTGTGTAGTCCTGCATTATTACACCTGGTAGATTCTCCTTTGACTGTAGTTGTGACAGCCCAGCTCCTTCAATAGCAAAAGTGTCTGCAGACAGATCACCGCACTACGCACTACATCTAAAAAGTGTACTTTGGAGTGAACACAGTGGACTCAAGTGCTCCAGTCTCGAATTTCAAAATAGGAGTCCGATTGTTACTTGTAAAAATGCGGCTGTGGCATACACAGAAATGACAGTCATCAATAGTTTAATAATACATTTGAACTGTTTTGTGGTGTTGGCTTACAGTATGACTTTTGCTGACCCAAAGCAATCATATTTGCAGATCCTTGGCATAAAATGTTTGAAAACACCTGCCTTAGTAAGTACTGACAAAACTGTCCGTGGCTCAGTGCACATATATTGTCTTTATAAGGTCATTGTAAATGTTATAATAGTGTTTGGCTGTGTATTTCATGAGACTTTCTACCCAGGCGAGGTAATGAAACGTAGCACATGTCTGTGTACATAACCTTGCATACCAAAGTTTAAGGCTCTAGCCTATTTTCCTTCACATTCAATGAAAAAATAACAGTGATTAGAACGGTCAGCATTTTAAAGGCCGTGTGGAAAATCGATTATTTAGAAACAAGGATCACAATGTAAGTGTCAATTTGTTGTTGTTTGGTTATACAACATTAAACAAATATTTCAGATATAGCAAAAAGTTGATATAAACACGAAGATTAAGACTTCAACTTATAAAGTAAACTAGGCTAATAGGCCTACATGTTCAAGGATATAGTTTTTGGTAAATCGCTTTTTGTGTCTGGTTTACACGTCGTTTCCTACACTAGTTTTTGACTCCACACTCTATCAGATCATGAAAATGTTCAACAATAAAGTGTGGACCACATAGTTTATGTACTGGAAACCGCTTTGTTTTGTCCTAAGTAATAGGATATCACACCATGAGATAAGAACTATATTATTGCTTTCTCTACTGCCACCTACTGGTAACTGTCTGCGAACACCTCAGCCAGGAACCTTATTAGAATTAATGCAAAATCTTACAACACGTGCAAAATATCACAAGACGCTACTTTTGTTATTATTTCGCATGATCAGATCATAATTTTTCTTTCATTTTAATTAAAAAACTGTCTTCCATCTGGACAAATCCTTGACTTATCATTTCGGAAATAATCTTTATTTTGAAAAATAAAGGGGCAAATAACCCGGAAGTAACCTGTCCTGCCACGTCAGTGGTGTGTTTAGCTTTCAAGCTGTCAAGTGCCTGAAAAAGTTCAGCAGTTCAGCTATAACTCAATGGAGGAGGCTTTCTATGCATTTTAAAGAATAAATTAAGTTTTCTTCCACGTAAACACTATGAGATACCCTTTTCTTTTAATTTTGGCTGTGTACATAGCCTTTGCAAATGCCACCGAATTAACTTTTGAATTGCCCGATAACGAGAAACAATGCTTTTACGAGGACCTAGAGCAAGGAGCAAAGTTTGATATAGACTTTCAGGTAATTGTGCCGACAGCTGCTTTTAACAAAAGTGCCTTTTTTTTTTTTTTTGCAATGTTGATTATTTATCTTTTGTTTTCTAAGTTGAAAAACATTGTTAAACAACTTAAAATATTATTAATATCAATACTTTTCTTTCCATACAGGTTATTGCTGGAGGAAACTATGATGTTGACTGTTTTGTGACAGATCCACTGAATAATATGCTGTATCAGGAACGAAAAAAGCAATATGACAGCTTTTCCCATACAACAACCATGAAGGGAGTGTACAAGGTCTGCTTTAGCAACGAGTTTTCAACCTTCTCTCACAAAACTGTTTACCTGGACTTCAGAACTGGAGAGGATGACAGATTAATGCCTGACATGAACGGAGCGACAGCTCTCACACAGGTGAGAAACACAGACAGCATGCACTCATACATAATATGCACTGTGCATATATGCATTTGATATGAACCTCTGAATAAATCATGCAGATGGAGTCAGCCTGCCTGTCTATCCATGAGATCCTGAAAGTGGTTTCAGATTCTCAGACTTGGTACCGTCTTCGGGAGGCTCAGGACAGAATCAGGGCTGAAGACCTGAATGAACGCATGCATTTTTGGTCCATTGGGGAGACCATCATCCTGTTTGTGGTCTGTATTGGCCAGGTGCTTATGCTTAAGAGCTTCTTCAGTGAGAAGAAAGCCAATGTTGCCACCAGCACATAGACCTAGTTTTCTAGTCTGCCGCCTTCTCTCCATTAATTAGTCTGATCCCCTTAAAACAACCTTGACTGATGCCTACAACCAACCAAAAATTACATCTGTGTAAAAAAAATGCCTTAAATATGGAATAATGTACTAAAAGCTATGCAAGAGTTCATTATTTTATGTAGTATATTCAAATTGGCTTCTATGTGCATTATTCACTATATCAGTAATGGAAATTGACCTGCTGCACCATTATGTTACCACATCTTAAAGTTTTTTGTTTTTACCAGTGGTGTTTTGTTAAATTTTTTACATTGTCCACTTTAAGTGTGTGCACTTGTCAACTTTAAATGCATATGTCTTAACATATACTTTATATAGAAAAGAAAGAATAGTTTTGGTGGTTTGTGTTTGGGTAATTATGGCAATATGATAATGAATGCCTGTGTTGAACCTCTAGTTTTCTGTTTAGCAAAGCCCTTTTTGTTTATCTCACATTCAAAAGGGAAAAATCCATGGTGAATAATTTATATATGTAGCTCTGGCAAAATATGAAATGCTTGTTAAAATTCATTATTTTCTAACCCCTTAATTATTATCCTGTCTAATTGTAAGTGCCAACCGCACACACCACTGCTGATTTTTTCCCCAACTCTAAGTTACTTTGGGGATATGGAACAAGGGCTTGCACTTTTTTTTGGACTGTAACTGAAACATCAACTTAACGTGCAATTCAAAAGCTATTTTATAAACGTATTACATATTTTTCGGATATTTGTTACAAACAAATCTCATTTTGTATACCTCAGCCTAGGATGTTAAATCGATTTGTGACATTTATTGATTACTTATGAAATTAATACCATATATTGTGTTGTTTATATTCATGACTTGTGTTAATTGACTAATTAAAAACAAAGTTTTGAATTGATTTTGAGTCATCATATTCATAATATCATATAATGACGATTGTCGACGAAGCGATGGATAAGAATATGCCAACTTTCACCAACAGGGTTAACTATATATATATATATATACACACACACACACACACACACACTCACTAGGGGTTGAACGACTTCTGATTTTTTAAAGTCGAAGTCGACTAGTCGCTGATGACGTCATTAATGAACAAATAAGTCTGTAGCTGTGACAAACACCTTGTGCACAACTATGGCATATGACACAGCGATGCCCACATGGCTATTTTAAGTAAGGCAGCTGACGAGGGGAAAACAGGTGAATGGAGTTAACTAATAATGACTAATGAGCAAATTAACTAAAGAGATAAACCAAACAGGAACAAAACCATATAAGGAAAAACAGGAACAGGCAGACGTAACAGAAAAAGACAATACTATGGTTCATACACCTAACAGTACTCCCCCTCCCCGGAAGGCGTGACCTCGCGCCGTAGCAGAGCGATCCAAGGAGGGTGGGAGGGGGTGTGGGAGGACCGGCAGGAAGGCAGGCTGAAGACCAAGGGATGAGGGAGGGAGGAGCCATTTAGGAGACGGAAGGTACCAGGGCGGAGCAGACGGTTGGAGGAGCCAGGAAGACGACAGGGGGGAGCTGGAGTAGGAGGAGCCAGACATGACCCAGACCGCAGCCATGATGGCGGCCCCCGGTGGAGCCGACGGAGGAAGGAGCCATGGTGGAGGAAGGGCTGACGCCTCCAGTGGGCCGACTGACGGCGGCGGAGCAGGGGGTGGTAGAGACCGAGGCAGAGACGGAGAGCCGACGAGCCAGGGCGAAGCGAGGATCCGGAGGGCCAAGGCGGAGTAGGTGGCTTCGGCGACCGAGGCGTAGGCGGAGATACGGAAGGCCGGAGCGACAGAGGACTGCGGTGGAGCTGGAGGGAAGGAGGAGCCCAACGGAGCCGGAGGGACGAAGGGACGAGGTGCAGCCGGAGGAGTGCAGTCCCGAGGTGGAGGTAGGGGGATGACTGACCAAGGCGGAGCTGGAGGGACGAGGGAGCCTGGTGGAGCTGGTGGACTGACGGGCTCCGGTGGAGACAAGGGAGCTGGAAGCCATGGTGGAGCCGCTGGGTCGCAGGACTGAGGCGGAGTCAGGACCTCGGAAGCTAGAGGCAGAGTCGAGGGATCCTCCAGACTCAACACCAATGGAGCTGGAGATGGGCAGACCCGCGGCGAGCCCACACCACAGATGGTGGGCTGAGGGTGAGCAGAGGGGCTGACAGGATCCAGCAGAATGAGCTTTGATGAAGGTAACAGATCTATGAGAGAAGGCGGGAGAGGGAGGTTGGATGGGATTTCTTGCCAGAATGATAGCACAGATGATGGACATATTTGTAGCTCCGTATTCCTTTCTATTAAATCCCCCGAGTCCAGTTCTTGCTCACCCTCAGTGGTGGTGCAATGGGCGGGGCTTTCCTTAGACCCCGCGATCTCCACAGCCGTATCCATCGTCGCTTGCGCTGTCGGCTCTCGCACCTGGTCAGACACTTGAGGCACAGGCTCCGGGGCGATCATCAGCTCTGTCGCTCCTGATGGCAATGGCTCAACGACCGCGGCAGGCTTTGGCTCTCCATCTGCGGTGGGCTCGGACAGCGCCGTGTCGCGGGGTGGTGGTTGACTGGACTCTGGGTTGTCGGCACTCACATGTGATGACCTCGGGCTGGGCTCCACTTCGTCCACGGTGAATGCTGATCCGGCGATCCACAGCGCGAAGTGGATGTAGTTCCTCAGCGACCAGCACAGATCAGCTCGGGACATGACGAAGCGGATTTCGTCTTCCAGCCCACACCAGAATACCTCCAATAAGGTGAGGTCATCACATGTGGCGAGATGGCAATAGTCCAAAAACTCCAGCACATACTCCTCCAGGTCACGTCAGTCTTGAAAAATAAACATAGTAGCCCCTGAAGGGCTAGGAACACTGCCCATCGGGGCTAAGTTAATTGAGGCCAATTCAAGCTTCATCCTTTTTGGGTCGGTTATTCTGTTACAGTACTCCAAGGAAGGCGATGAAGACGAAGATAATCCACAAAGAAAGTCTTTAATTATAATCCACACAATTGCAGGGAAGGAAATAACTCAGGGTAGCAGTAAAACATGTAACACGAAACAATAACTGACAAGCTACTGAACAGAAAGAAGACTTTAAGTAAGGCAGCTGACGAGGGGTTGTCCCGTATTTTCATTTTCTGTAGTTGACAACCCTAACTGGGACACCCCTTCTAATGAACAGGTTTGACTACTTTAGTAGTTTCCAAGAGTACAAATCTTAATATAATATAGAATAGAATAGCATATAATGATATTCTAGGGAATTGTGTGCTTCCAATTTTATAGCAACAGTTTGGACAGGACCCTTTTGTATTCTAACATGACAATGCCTCTGTGTATAAGGCAAGGTTCAAAAAGAAATGATTGATTCAGTCAGTGTGGAAGAACTTGACTGGTCTGCATAAAGCCAAGACCTAATCCCAGCTGAACACCTCTGGTGTGACTTTAATTGCAGACCTTGAGCCAAAAACTCATCACCAAACACCAATGACTTGTACATATTAGACACTTCAATTTAGATACAAAACAGATACAATTTTTAAATACATGAATTATGTTTCCATCTTTGTTGCTAAAGTTTTGGAAGTGCCTTTTTCTGTTCTAAAGAAAGGGGTGTCCCAATACTTTTGTCCTTATGTCATTGTACATACATTATACACATACTCATGGAAATTACTTAAAGTAGTCAAACCTGTTCATTAGAAGGGGGTATCCCAATTCTTTTGGCAATATATTGTATATATATATTGTATATGTATGTATATATATATATATATATATATA